GGGGTATGCTAAAGGAGAAGGTGTACTCAATGAAAATCACAGATGTAACACACTTGATTGAACGCATAAAGAGTGAAGGTGCTAAAATCGACGGCAATGTGGAGTTATTACATCGAGTTCATGTGAATCTTCCAAAGCCCATCAACCTTTCCATCATAAATGATGGAAATCATATTGAAGATGTTATTTGTTAATATTCCAATTGAATAAAATGTTGAAAATTTCATTTCTTGAAAATCTGCATTTTTGCCAATGTGTCCAGACTTCAGGGACACCGTGTAGAGTTAAACATAAGAGAGAACTATTAACAAATCTTGAATAAGAGGATGTGACAGGTGGATGTGATAAGAGGGGTCTGATAGCTCTATAACCAAAATAATTTAAGGCTATAAAAATTATGGTTTGTCTGAGCAATGACGATTTTATAGTGAATAATTTACATTTAATTTCACAGTTATTGGAGGGGTGATGGATAAAATAGAGAAGAGAAGAAGCCTAGAGAAAATGAGTCACACTAGAGGAAATTCAGGATTTTATAAATATTGCCTTATAAAATTAAGAACTTAAAACTTGTATTCTATTGAAATATGGATTTGTCAGGTACTTACTTTTTAGTAGTATACATAGTAATGTAAGTATAAGAGTGTTTTGGGCTAAGGATTCTTCTAAAGTAGGTGTGTGTGATTTGTTGGTGATAAATTCAACAATAAACAAACACCATACATTCCATTTTTAAAATAATATATATATATTCAAAAGAAGTTAAAAGTATGTACAAAATTCTTTACACTATGACGATCATAGTTGTATATGAAACACAATACCATTCTCTTCTTGTCAAAAGTCCACTTAGGCCTGTTCAATTGCTTTAGAATTCAGTTGACAAGCCGAATTATTTTTCTCTATTGTTATCACAGTAGTATACATATATAATTCACATACACTGTTGCATGAGTTACTGCAATTGTATTCTGTACTTCCAATAATCATCTGCTTTTCGTCAAAGACCACTCAAGCGGGTTCAATTAGGTTAAAACACCCTTTTACAAGACAAATTATTCTCCTTATCTTTTTCAAAATATTAATCTCTAGCATATCAACCTTTAGGCATTTAACTCCTACAACAGTTAACTTTACATTTTCTAACTTTTCTCTCATCGAACTTCTCTTTTCTGTGACTTTACTTTTTACTCCCTCTCTCTTGCTGCCCCTCTGGTCACAGCTATTCATACGTCTATCACTTAATCCTTCTAGAAATCTCCATACCCTCGGCATCAATGGATTGCAAACACAAAATTCAATAGTCTCAACATCAATGAATTATAAACACAGAATAAATTAATTAATAATACTACATACACTAAACAGTCTTTTATATCTGACAGGATTGTTAGCTAAGATTTTATGCTATACTAATTGGTATAACATAAACAAAAATTAGTTTAATAACCTTGTGTCATGCGCAGTAAATGATACCCATGATGATAGAGTTAAAGTGAAAACATTTTGTTGAGGTGTAAGAAAATACTATACCTTCAAATAATTAAGTCTGATATATTACCCTTAGAAGCATTTCTCTATTCTAGCTTAAAAACAAGTATTAAGAATATAAAACTACAAGAACATTTGTGTTGGTTTTTTACACAATAAAACAATGCTTTGCATGTCCTTTTCCAAATGCATGTGTGTGTGTATATATATATATATATATATATATATATATACA